TGGCTAACTGTGTTGCCTGTTGCACAGGCTATATCATAGGCTCTATACAGACTGAACACAGAAGTGTAAATTAAACTTAAAACAAAATTTTATTCTTAATAAGAACAAGATCCAGGGAAAAGTCGGCCAGGTACAACTATGGAGTCATAAAAAGTGATCACACTTTCTTCAGAGTCTCAAATCGCTGCAGAAGTCCTGTGTTTTTCTTAGAAACACAGAAACACTCTCCATCTCCTGCTGCTTATCTACCAGGCATGGTCACAGCAGGGCCAGAGAAATACATCAAGGGCTGATGTGTTTGTGTTTTCACACTGGTGTCAGGCAGTGGTGAAATATCAGGAGCAGCATGGATTAAAAGCATCAGCTTGAATGTCCAAAATGTAAACTTTGAACCGTAAGAATCAGAGCTGATAGAGCCTGCAAACTCCTGCAGCATGTTCGTCTGCCAAATCAAGATGGAGACCATCTGGTTTCTGTAGCTCTACAGAGTGAAAACACATTCTCCACAAGCAGTCCAACACACTCGACGCAGTGGACGCTCTCGAATGCTGATAACCTCCCAGATAGCTATACTTTCTAAAAAATACTTTGAGTAATCTTTAGCCTTCTTTATATTCACACGGCCGAAAAAAAGTGAGCACCAAACAAAAATCCAATTCGAACGAGCCTTTGTTGGTTTTCAATACAAAACCATTTGGAAAGATTTATAAGAGGAAAAAATTGGGTGATTACGGGCTTCTTGGGGCTGGTTGCACATTCCTTTTTGGGATCTACATGAAGGCAGGACAACTGGAGGAACGTTTCACTCGATCAGCAAAACAATCTGAAAGGATTTACTGTATTACTTTTATAAAAATATACTCGTTGCAGTGTAATTACCCCTCAATATAAAGATAAATGCAGAATGCTAAACTCCCAAAAAAGTTTATAACTAAAGTACAACTCTGTTTTCTGTTTCCCTGAACTCTTTCAAGCCGTTTCTAGCTCAGTTTCTAAGAAGTCCGTGCATGCATGACGAGTTTATGTGTTATATCACTGTGATACATCTCTGAACAGACTAGTTCAACCAAGCAGGGAAAACATAAAGGACTTCAGTATGCTTGGACATCAAGTATTACAAAGGTTATAAGTGATTTAATCAGGGTCAGCAATTTGGGCTTTAAATGCAAAAATGTTATTTAGGGACACATCGAGCTGATATTTGAGTCAGATGAGAGTCCAAAAGCTGGTTTAGAAGTTTTATGATGATGGTGGTGGTGGTGGGGGGGAGAAGGGGTCCAAGTTATTCCACCAATAACTAGACTTTAAAGCTCATGTTTAACAGTCTCCTTAGACGATGCAAAGTCTTGAAGTGATTCACAATTTTTTTCTAAGCTCTGCACAGTTTGCTCCAGGCAGGGTGCAGCTACATATCTTCAAACTGAAACTATCCAAGTAAGTCCCGAAACAACCACAAAGCTGGCAAAAATTACTGCACCCATTAAAAATAATTACCAATTTAATATTTTGGTATAAACATTAACCCACTTTGTGGCATTAGAGAGAGTTCAGACTGAGAGTAACCCTGCAAAAACACTCCTTTATTAATTTCAGTTGCTCCCATGTGTTACACAGCAGGTCTGCAGACATTAGGGGTGCTCTGGAGAAAACACAAGGTTATTAAGCAGAAACGTTAAACCCTTTGCTTAAACCTGAGCAACGTCCACCTGTAAGGCACTGCTGTGGTCATTCAGACTAATGTAAAAGCCACCATAACAGCATTAACAAACCGCACAGATATTTGAAACCACAGGGCAGTCTTTTACCACCAGATGAGATTTAAAATTCATGATATAATAAATTTTTCTTCATAGTACTCAGTCGTCTTTAATACCACCCCAGCAGGGCAGCACCGCCTACAAGACTCTAAATATATTATGTTTGTCTTTTCTAGTGTGGAAATTGCCTTGATAACCCCAGTTAGTGTCATCCGTCACTGCTCTTCAGACAAAATACAACATTTAAAGACGCCACACAACCCCCCCTCAAAAAAAAAAAACAAAACAAAAACTCAGCGTTGAGTGAGTCTGATTTTGCACAGTAAAAAAAACCAAACAAACAAACAAACAAACAAAAAAAAACACAGTTAACACTTTGTTTCTCGGCTCATGTTTCCAAAGGAGAGCGCTGGTTGCAAACTAGCATCGGCTAAAACAGTGATGACACGTCGACAGGAGGGCGACTGCTCTGGTTACCCATTTACCTCAGTAAACACTTTCTAGAGTATTTTATGGCTTCAGTAAAAAGTTTCCAATTGTACTAAATAAAAAGCCCTGACACGCTGCTCTGAGAGCTAGACAGTCACATTTGCAGCATGTGATCCCCTCTGTGCTTCCAGCCAGACTCAGGGAGGGCAGCGCAGTCCCCTGGATAAGTTCGCTGTTAATCCCACCCCAACTGTCCCCAACCTTCAACAAGGCGGGGCCCTCCATACAAAGACCGGGCTTGTCAGATCTATGACATAACCCTAATCTAATGTCCGCTGTGGAGGGAGCCTCCCTGTGCCACGGTTGTTGTCCCCTCCTCTGAGAGAGCCCTTGTTTTCAGTCGCAGAGATGATAACCGAGATCCCAGGGAAGGACTCTGAGCTGTTATATAACCACCCGAGATGAGAGTGACCTCTGAGGGCACGGAGGCCTCAGACATTGCCGTCCCTGCTCCAGGGGACATGAGCCGAGAGAAAGGGAAAGGGGAGGTTTAGTTCGTTTTTTCCTCAGCAGAGGGGAGCTTTAGTTTGACAGATAAACATTTTAGTGAAAGCTGCAATCCTCTGAAGGCAGAAAATAAAAACAATGGATCTCCCTGAACCTCAGAGACCACGAACTTCTATGTGTTTATATTACAACACAAAACTGGCAAAAGTCAGTGGATTCCACTAGAGTAGCTTTTGCTTCTTGTTACACATCACGTTTCCAGTTTCATCAGCTTTTGCACAAGCGTTTCTCAAATTTGAGGCTCAATAAAGCTGTCTCAGAAGGTAGAGTGGCTTGTCTACCAATCAGAAGTTTAGTGGTTTGATCCGCGACTCCTCTAGTCTCATGTTCAAGTATCATTGGCTAAGATGCTGAACCGTACAGTTCCCCCTTATGCATCCACTGGACTCCAAGTTGAGTGTTACGTTAAGAGCACCATTAAAGTTAAGTTAAAAGCACTATAATATCACTGCCATTTACCAGATAACCTAAACTTTTTCTGTTTCAATATTTAATACAATCAAACTCAGTACATCTATGCAGATGGCCATAAATCAGATTTTATTGATCCAACTAAAGATTCCCACAGTGTTTCTATTGAGGACTTATTTTAGAAATGACCTGGGTGAGGAAATTATATCTACAAATGATTTTAAAAGCATCATCGGGAGATGTTGATGTTTTTTTCTGGTGAAACCACTAGTGTTTTGTTGTGTGTATCTGTATATAGTATATCACATTGGAGATCTTTTATTTCATGTTTTATTTGTTGCATTTTCATGGTTTTTAAGCTCGTATGGCTACTGCCTTGGCCAGGCCACCCTTAAGATTTGAAATTAGTGGGACTTGCTGTTTAAATCATAAGAAATACATAAAAATGTTCTTGTGTTTTGATCACTTGTCTGTTGTTTTTAAATGTGTTGTAATTGAATTTACTAACATGTGCTCCAAAGTAACTATGTTTTGGGCTCTGACCGCAGAGGTTTGCTCCCTCCGTGAGATTATCTGCTCCTCACAGAAGTCCCAAACCGCTTTCCCCGCCACACTGATGAAAGGTAAGAAAAGGGAAACATCTGCAGACAAGAAACCTGATCAAGATGATCCCGATCTGTCTGTGTGTTTACTTTCCCCTCTGTGAGCCCCTCTCACACATGCAGTGATGCTACGTGCAAACAGGGAGGCTGAGTGGGTAGATGAAGAGGATGACCTGCTTTTTAAGTACGCACAGGAACCCCCCCTCCCACCCCACATACACATGTGTCAGCTGTGGGATTTGAAGTTCAGCAGGCCTGTATGTACATGAGGTCCAAACAGGGTGAGGAAACGTCCCAGAAAATAAGAAAAAGAGGCAGAGTAGTTCAACCAGTGAAATAGGAAAGCAGATCTGGAAAATTGTGGTCTCATCGTTGGATCTGATAAACAGGTTAAAAGCACTTCAGAGATCCTCCGCCAATAAAGCGCTTAGCTGACTAACAGCGTAGTGCCTCATATCGTTTTACACAATGAGGTCAGTTCAGTAAGCCAGTGTGTAAGAAGGAGAGAGAAGCAGGAGGGTCTTAAACTGACTTCAGACAGTCACTGTATCCATTCAACCTTCAACAAGTGTGAAACACTGAAGCAAAGATCTTGTGTGTCCTTTCGCCTGATCTCATCTAGAAAATCAGGAACGAGGAAGGAAAAACAGATGAAAGTTATCAAGGTCAGAAGAAGAAAATCTGAAGTTATGTGACGCAAATGAGAAGATGAAAAGCCCAGAAATCAGAGTTATCTTCCCCGTCTCATCCCTGACACAGCTGAAAGAGCTGGTACACCAAGATTATCTGACCAGTATGAGCTGGTTTTAGAGGTGCTGCTGCTGTGTTTAGTCTGGCAGCCCAGTACAGCAGAGGTGCCAATGCAGATACACAGATAGAGCACTTAACATGGCAACACCCAGCGTTTAAATCTGACTCATGGAGCGAGCTGGTGCAACACAAACAGAGAGAAACAGGTTTAAAAACAACAGAGACTGCTAAGATGCAAACTTTTTCATCTTTATCCCAAAAATCAACCACCAAATCTGTACTAAATAATATACTCATATACCCTGCTTACATTTTAGACACACTGCAGTAATTGCAAGCTCAGATGTACAGATGCACTTTAGTCTACAGATGCACTTTAACCTCCCGTAACTGCTTCCAAACTGTATGAGACCACAACATGATACTTTGAACAATGTTTTGCATGTGTGAAGAAACCTTTAAGGTTGTTTTCAGGAGTATTTACCTGGAAGAAGTAGCGACAAAATCTCCATCCAGCAGCCGGAGCTTGCAGAAGAGGACGCCGTTGACAAAAGGCACCGCGGTGAGCTCCTCCAGGGTAAGATGGGTCTGAAACTTGAATTTCTTCTTTTTCACGAAGAACGCCATAGTTTAAAAGACTCTCAAAGCTATCAAAAATAACGGGGAAAAACACGGTAAACGGTAAAAAGTAGGCTGTGCTAAAGTAAACGTGCCGACTTGGTGTTTTCAGTGTGTTTTCATTAGAACTCTTGTTCAGGACGTGATTCACCGCAGATATCTGAAAACAAATTAAGCGTTTCGTTCAAAAATGTCCGTAAAAGTGGGGGAAAAAACTTGAAGGGTTGGGTTAAAAGTAATGAAAAAACCCACCTGGGGACATTTTGGGTATCTGGCTTTCACCAGCCGCGGTTCAACAACACGGAATGACAAAAAAAGACATTTCAGCTTGCTTTTCTCTTTTGAGTACGGAGAGGAGGAACCTACAGCTAGCAGCATCAAGTTAAGGAGAGTATGCTGAGGAATTTCCGGTTTTTACCTTTCAGAATAAAGTCTAAACCATGTTTGTCAGGCAAAGATGCATTCATTTCTTTTTCTGTCGGCAGCCAAACTATATACAAAGCTTTTTATCGTATTATTTGATACATATATTAAAATGTAAATAAAATAAATAAATACTTTTGTGATTATCAAAGGAAACATTCTACTGGAATTAATGTTTAATATTAAGATTTTTTTTTTAAAGTGTTCATAAATTGGAGAAAAAAAAAGAAAAAAATTACTCAGTAACTGAACCACTGACTAATCATTTAAACAAACAATTATACATTAATATCAGCTCTAATTGTTCAACTTGTGTGAGTAACAGTTAAGGAAAGTACAATGTAAAAGCAGAGATTAAAGTTTACTTAAAAATAAGCCGAATAATGTTTTCTTGTTGTTGTAATGAAATAGATGATTGATGGTTTTTCAGAAATGTTTTAAAGTGATTTAAAAAACCTATAAAACTTGCAAGTGTATGTGCAATTTAAAAAAAATGAATTCATGTGATTGCTAATAACAATTTTACATTATAATAAATTCACAACACTCATTCAGATGTTGAAACTTAATCAAGATACTATTCAAACACTTACTAGCTAGGTTTGTGGTTTCTACTTTAAAAAATATATAACTGATATAAAGTGAAACAAATATAGATGTATTCAATTTATTTGGGCGCTTGAACACGAAACATTTTATCTGTGGAAGACTTTTTAAAGGTGAGTCATGGCACTTCCGGTGCTACACTGGTTCAAGCCGATGAACTTGCCTAAAGTGTTTGGACTTTCATTCATGCCAGTCATGCTGTAGCGTTCAACGTGAAACAGCGCCACCGTGCGGTACAAACCTACACAGAGATGCTACCTTCAGGGACTTGGAATCCAAAAACTCAAAACTTACCAACTTTACGCGGAAGATTTTAATGAATTCAAATAGAATTTGTTAAATATAAGTTGCATTTTTTTTCCTTGTGTCTGTTTTTATTAGTTATACACCAGTTAGCACCTGTTAATTTTACATGGATTGAAAGTACCTGATAATATTTCCCCCAAACCTGCAAATAGCACACATTAATAAAGAAAAAAATAAACTTATATATATTTTAATTTATTTTTACATTTAAAAAATCAATAAATTTAAAAACCTTAATTTGTTTCATTATTTTCAGTGATTTCAGGACCCATCCGATTTATAAATTCCTTTGGTTGGATGGGTTCACAGCACCGCTGCTCAGACTTCACTTTAAGCAGATTTTGCAGATTTAGCTGTAAGTGGCAAAAATCTAATAAGAACCATTCGATGAACATCCAGGGATCAAAACCTTTCTTTTTAGAAATACATTAATATTTTGGAAATAACATTTACGCAGTCTTTCCCCTTTTTCAACTTAGTTTTGTATTTTTCCTTCAGACACTGTGACCAAAAGAAGAAAACTTGATGACATCATGAATCATTTTTACAGCTCATTGATTAATTGATTGATTTAATCCGTACTCTCTAAAACCTTTGGAAAGTTTAAATAAAGTTGACCAAGTTTAACCTCCTAAGACCTGAACTCTTCCACGGCATGCATTTTTAATTTCTCCTTGATATTTGGGCTGATTGGGCTGATATGTGGACGCCAGGTCGTAGGAGGTTTCAATAAAGTTTGCACAAAGGTTTGTTGGGTTGTTGTTTTCGGTTTATTTGAAGATGTGTCATATCAAAGTCAGGACTTACTTGCCTGCTAATGTGTCTGCATGGGCGCACTTCAGGCTGCAGGTCAACATATCCTGTTTAATGTATGCCACGAAGAAACGTGTGCATCTATGAGAAGAGTCAGTAAACAGTCAGCCAACAGAGGGCAGCACAGATCTGGAAGAAATTCAGCCTGTATTTAAAGTTCTCTATTAAATCTGCATATGTGTGCAGCTGATTTACCTCGTGGTAGACTTTAGGGAGCTTATTGAAATAAAGTAAAATACCTGGACCTCACAGTAACTGTTTGTCAACAGTCAAAAATCTACATTTATGTTCCCAAGCAGTAAATGGTTCATGTTATCATGGCTACCTCCAGATTGTAAGATGAAACATGAGGAGACAGTCTTAGAAGATGGTGTCCTGAGGTCAGGCTGGGGTCACACTAACAAACTGTTGGTGTTGTTTGCAGGGGGACAGATACCACGGTGCATTATTGAAGGGTTTAAGGTACTAGAGCTGATGTGATTTCCATGTTCTTTTTGTGTTTTTAATGTCCTGTCACATCTGAGGTTTTATGTATCAGTAAATGGTCATTTAAAAAATTATCTGGTCCTCAGCAAGTGTTAAAATTGGATAAATACAACGTCAAATGAACATATGACATATCACACCAGGCCAAAGGCAGAAGCTCTGAAAACCTGTCCAAAAAAACTGCTTCAACAGGAATTAAGAGGGTAAATAGAAGTGAGGTGCTTATAGTCCTAAAGCAGGAGTGGGCAACTCCAGGCCTCGAGGGCCGGTGTCCTGCAGGTTTTAGATAAACACAGCTGATTCAAATGGCTAAATGAGCTCCTCGACATGTCTGGAAGTTCTCCAGAGGCCTGGTAATGAACTAATCATTTGATTCAGGTGTGCTGACCCAGGGTGAGATCTAAAACCTGCAGGACACCGGCATTCGAGGCCTGGAGTTGCCCCCCCTGTCCTAAAGCATTTGATTAAATGCTCATCAGGAAGCGTGACCAACTCTATAAAAGCATAACAGGACAGGCTGCAGGTCTGAAGCATTCAGATGTGTGTTAACTCAATGCTGAGGAGGATGTCCTAGAAAGCTTCCTAAAGTCTTCAGCTGATCCAAAGTACTGAGAGGATCTAGAAAGAGAGCACATCCCCCCCCAACAGAGCGCTTTGCTTTCAGACTGCAGGCTTACTCGTGGTTGCTTGGGTTTCTTCCTGTTAAAAGGGAGTTTTTCCTTCCCACTGTCACAAAAGTGCTTGCTCATATGGGGTTTTCTCTGTTTTCTCTGTATTATTGCCAGGTCTTTATTTTACAATATAAAGTGAACTGAATTGAATGACATCAGCAGTGATCTGAAAGAAGGGTTCTGAGGCTAAGTTTATCTTTCTACAGTGGAAAACATTTAAGACAGCTGTTAATCTTCCCAGGAGTGGACATCCCAGCAAACTGACCCTGAAGTCAAATTGTGTAATGCTCCGAAAAACTGAAAAAAACAACAACCCCACAACACTACGTCTCAGACTCTACAGGCCTCAGTTAGCATGTTTAGCATGCTTTTTAAAAACTTTTTCTAAGGTTTGTTTTGAAGGGTTTCCAGGAGAAAGCTTCTTCTCTCTAAAGGGCTGGTAGCATTTGAATAAACTACAAGGTTTTTTTTTTTGGAACAATGTCCTTTGGACAGATGAAACCACAGTGAAGATGTGTGGTTATAATCCACAGCATAATGTTTGTCAAAAATAAATAAACAGCAAATCGGCACAAACACCTCATACCAACTGTCAGCACAGCGGTGAAGGGCTGAAGTCGACCATGAATTCCTCTGTATATCGTAGTGTTGCTGAGCCAAATGTGCAGCCATCTGTCTACTCATGCAACAGGACAGTGATCACAAACACACCAACAAATCTGCAACAGAATGACTGAAGTCCAGACCTGACTGAAATTCTGTGGCAGGACTTTAAAAGAGTTGAAGCAATGCTGAAAAGAAGAGTGGATCAAAAATCTTCCAAAGTGATACATAAAACTGATAAAGTGTTAAGAAAACAGTGGTGCTGCAAGCTTTGAATCATGGGGTGTACTTTATTTTTCACACGCCGTTTCTGCATTTTTGCTTAAGTTTTGTTAAATAGAATAATGACGCGGTGTAATATGTTATGAGGTTTGTTCATCCGAGGTTGAATTTACACAATTTTAAGACCTGCTATGTACCAGGTGATTTGTAAAGGACAAGATGTTTCCTCTGTGTTTGAAATTAGGTCGTAAATCTTGTGACTTAATGGGAATGTGAATCGCAGATGATAACGATCAGTAACAATGAAACATAAAAAGCTTTTTCCAAGGAAGGCAACAACAGATTATCATGTTGTCCCACTGTGACGTTTCCCAGTTACTCATGATTAAACGCCCCCTCACCTGTCACCTGTTGCTGTTAGATACGGACTGTTTGTGCAGCCGTGCGGGTTAAAGTGCTCCTGCTGAGTCCTGTTTGTCTTTACCTGCTGCTGTGTGACGCAGGGCATCCAACGACAGTGGCCACGTTAACGTGTTTATGCTTCTAGTGAACTTTTACTGACGTGTTCATGAACCTCAGAGTTACATGCGTGCATTAAAGCCTCATATTGTTATTGTTGCTCTTACCACCATTGCTGTTGTTACTGCTGTTTATTATTGTTTCATACAGACATAGCCATTATTGTTGATGCCCTCACAGTTACCCTGTGGGGTCTGAGAAATAACCCCAACCCTATGTATCAGAAAATGTGACTTCTGGCTTTCAAATATTGTTCTTCCAAATCTTGGCAATGACAGGACAAAAATTATATATATTTAAGCATCTGTTGTCTCCAAATATGGAGTTAAGGGTTGCTTCTCCTCATTCATTTTGCAATCGGGACTATGGGTAATTGTCCCTACAACTTTTACAGTCAATTTTTAAGCTTTCATTTTTTTTTAACTTATAATTAAGGCTGTAGCAACATGAACAAGACGACTGCCATACAGCATCCTCTGTGTAGAGACATTTGCTTTCATTTTAAAACATATGTATATATGTTGCTGCTTCAGCTTAAGTGGATTAAGCCAGATGAGTTTAATATCACATGTCAAAATAAAACTAACTTCTAATTCTAATTCTAAATTGTATAATGAATAAACTCCTTATATGTCACTAGGAAACTAAGAGTACTTGTACACAAGGTTTTTAATTGACTTCCTGTGTCCCATGCAGCACACAGACACTGGTTTTATTAATATTTGATCAAAAACTGAACAAGAACATTGACTAATGGGAATCGTAATACTTTGTTTACACGGTTCACTGCCACACAAAGACTGGAGACCATGTCACACAGCCACAAGAATCAAAGTCTAAACACAGCTAATGTATCAGAGATCACACCAACGTTAAATTAAAGGTTCAAAGTTGAACATTAACAGTCCCATGAGTCTGTACTTTTGCTAGAGCACCACTGGAATTTTCATGTCCCTGACTCTTGCCCTAAAAAAAAGACATTGAACTGAAACACCTTTGGTGTGGCACAGATTCAAACCAAAAAAAGTGGAGAGAAAAAAAGCTTATTTACTCTGCAAAGATCTTCTGAGGTGGCCTGGACAAAATGTGTGATATCTCTTGGTAGGGAGTATCCCGGGCTTCTCTTGTATCACATTGACACAGAGGAGAAAGTACAGAAATGCCAAGCAGGGTAAAGTTAAAGGCTGCGGGAACATCTCTGGGCAGCTTGACGTTCCTGTGACTACCCGCTGCTAATATTAGATGTTTAAGGCTCGTGCAGCTGCAGCCATCCTCTCTGGACGTGGTGCAAGAGGGAAACTGACCTGGACAGAAGGATTAATGGTGGGAACAGAACAGCGGAGAACTTTAAACATACAAGATGACTGTACAATCAAATGTCCGCTGTGGATCAAAGTGAAGACCCCCACCTTCGAAAAGCAATAATGAAAATACAAATAATGTCCTTCTTATTTTAAATGGATGCATTTTTATCTTTATTAGAATAAGAGCATTTAGTTCTGAAACACTTTTTTAAGAATTTCAGAATAAAAGTGGAAGTCCAACATCTTTAATCACATGTTTTTAATTATAAATGTGTATTTTACCTTTTATTTTGTCAGTGTAACTTTCTTATCTTCTTGGTCTTGTCTTCCT